CATTTTATTTGGAATGAAATAAATATCACATGGTTTGGGCCTTGAACATGATTTTGGGTCGATAAGGCCCAAATTTAGAGCTTGCAATTGGGCCGAATTAGAGTGACCCATTTACTTTTATATCAATCTTCAAATCAATTTATATTTACATTATTTTAATACCAAAAAATATACTAATAATCAAATAGTTATATTATCATAATATAATTATACTATTTTTTAATGTAAAAACTACTTTTTATAAATTATCGATGATAGTTTAATAATTAAATATTTTTTATATTGTTTTTCTTTGATTAAAACTTGATTAAAATATGTAACCAAAAAGATGCATGAAGAAGTGGGGGAATTTACAAATGGTTTATAATATTAGTCTTATTAGGTATTAAGTAAGGGGGTCGTTTACCAAACGCTAACTCGAATAAGTGAACATCAAATGATATTACCTTATCGGATAAATATGATAAGGAATGACCAAGAATTTTACTTGGTAAGAGCGAGACAAGAATCAAGAGTCTTACCCGGTAAGTGAGGGTGACGACTCTTACCACGGTAAGCACTTACCGGATAAATTATTGCATATGATACCGTTTTGGTGGATTAAAATCTTACCCAATAAGTAAATGATAGTGTCAAATTTTACCCGTAAACGCTTACCGGGTAAGTGTTTGGTAAGTGTCAAAAAAACATTCCTTTTACATTTATGTTTTTGGAGGCGGGTTCTGTATGGAGCCGGTTGAGGTTATCGATAATCAATTTTTTCTCAAATTGATTATAATTTTTTTTTTATTAATTTTTTAATTTAGAGTGTATATTAAAAAAACATCTAAACTGAAGAAAAAAAAAATAAGAGGAGATGCCAATACTTATTTTTATGTTTGTTAAAATGATAATTTGACGTAGAAAACAACAAATAGTTCTGTTTAAGTTATTGAGGTCAACAAACTGTTCATATTATGTATTTATCCGTTGTTACAAATATCAAATACAGGGCCGGCCCTGGCCACGTGCAGCCCATGCGGCCGCACAGGACATCAAAGCTTAAATGGGCATCAAGTTGTCATCTATTACTAGTTTTGATTTTAATAATTTGAGAATTCGACAACTGAGTTTTAACTATAAAAACATGTCCAATGCCTAGTAGTGATGAATACTGAATGCAAATCGTGAACCAGTTAACGCTAACATTCCAACAACTCAATCTAATTTCTATTGTTTTTCAAAGTTCGACTATTTCGATTTTCAAGGCATGGTATTCTCTTTCCAGCTGATTAACGGTCATGAAATTATATTCAAGAAATCAAAGATGAAAATCTCGAATGACTGATTTCTACTGTTGATTGAATTTACCGAGTTAATCTTTAGATCTTTTTGCAAAAAAAAATCTAAATTTCTAACTGATTATTATAAAGATGGGTCATATGGTCGTGTGGGTTACCTACCTACTAGGCTAAGGGGCTTTTGTCATTTTGATAATGAGTCTTCCTCTTGCATATTGAAATATGAGAATTGAAATTTTCAATGCACATGAGCACATCACTGTATCAACATAGTTGGAGCACACTGCACAATATTAACAACATATTGTGATACTGTCTTAATTATTGGGCATTTGTTCTTTACAACGCACAGTAACATAGATTATGAATTTTACAATTTATTATTGTTCTTTTGACTTTTGTTTACTTTGAGGTTTGACATTACCGCATTAGATTTAGGGGGCGTTTGATTGGTTTTTTATTAAGTTCTATATGGATGAAGTTTTTTGTATGAATTAATCTGTTTGTATAAGTTGGAAAAGTTTTTGTTTGAGAGAGTTTTTTCGCAGATGTAAGGAGCGTTTTTTTTTAGTTGGAAGGGACATGTTTGGAAAAAAAAAAACTTGGCTTTCTATATAAAGCTATCCCTAAAAGTTTACTGGATAAGTCATTTTTTATATCATTAAGCCACTACGAAACAATTATGCGTAGTTGAGCAAATAAGATGTTAGTTTCATTAAGCTTATTAAGTTGTTAATAGATAGATCTTTAGCCTTAGTTATTACACCTATAACTTTTGCGTTTTACTTTTTGTTTACTATGACAATAATTTGAATGTAATTTACTATTTTAGTTAAAAACTAATGATAATTTTTCTTGTCTGTTGAGTCCATATATTGAAATAAAGTTTCTATTTTGCTAATTTTAATTTGGAAAAAAGAAAATTGGAAAAGAAGGAAGCACGATCTTAATCCAAGATTTATTCTTTTATCATTCTATATTTTGTATTTAGGGTTTTGGTTTTTATGGCCCCCCTAATTTTTTTTATTATAATTAATAAAAATCAACATGAGAATGAGACATTTAGCTTGAATAGGTTCTAAACTTTTTAAAAATCGCATGTTTCTTAGTTGATTGGCTTAAAAAAATAGGCTTAGGGGCATCTTTTATTATGTTCGCACAAGGCATCAAAAATCTTAAGACCGGCCCCGATCAAATAATTCATTTCTTGCATTTAAAAGGTTTTCATTATTATGTGTTAGATACTAATTTATATTAATATTACGGTTTTGACTCAGTTTTATTTTAACCCGTTATTTGATAGATCCTCTTGTAACCTGAATTCATGTTCAAATAACATCTGAACAAAAAGTTGATTGCCAACAACCCTAATAAGTCTCATACGAAACCCATTTCAAACGAGACCAATGTGATAGGTCAGTTTATTGACTCACTAAGGGACTTAAGGACTGTTTGTTTGCTTTTTACTAGTTCCATTAAAAAACTACATTTGAATCGTTAAGAGGATGAATCTTGTTGTGGGGTGGGGTGGGG